TAAGGCAAGAGGCAGGGTACACCTGTACAGGTCATCAACCTGTCAGGGCTGACACAGGTTTGCGTGAGTCTCGAGAAGCTGATTCCTCATATTGAACATCAGCATTTGAAATGTCTAATTTAAAATGCGTTATACCACAGGTGTATTTAGCCATTTAGTTTTGTTTTTCACATTCTTGGTAATAAAAAAAAATGTGAATAACTATTCACAATAATATCAAATGAAACAAACTTTGTGAGTTTTTTTTAAATAGTTATTGATGTTTGAGAAAAACAGAAAAGCAGATCCAACCTTTGGGCTCTGTGGCGTAGAGTCGTCGCTGAGCTAACTGGAATCTGCGACAGGACAGGAAGTTAGCTGGAGTCAGAGTTATGTTCTGAAAAAGACCACACAGTCACCGCTGGTACACTGGACACCATCTACAAACAACAACCTGCTGAAGAATGGCTTTTAGCAACTATAAACCTCTAATCAGTGGAGGTCACATTCATTCAGTGGGTCCATCCTTGACTCATTAGGGAATGAGTCAAGGACATATACTATATATTTGTATTATATATATATTATAGCTAACTAATACATTCCTGGTTCTTGGGGAGAAAATGTAACAGTAACTCAAATAACCACTTTTTACAACCAACATTCAGTATGCAGAAGGGCATCTCTGAACGCACAACATGTTGAAGCGGCAGCAACAGAAGACCACACCAGGTGCCACTCCTGTCGTCTAACAATAGGGCTGTAATTCGGGATTTACGGGGTGGCTTAAGTGGTAGAGCAGATCACCTTCTGATTGGAAGGTTGGTGGTTCGATCCTTGGCTTCAGTCTGCTTGCCAAATACCCTTGGGAAAGATACTAACTCCAAGTTGCCCTCAGATTCGTTCATCAGAGTGTGAATGTGTGTGAATGTTTATTAGTTTGTACTTGAGTTTAGAAGTGCTTGTGTGAATGAGACATGCTGTATATATAGTTGCTTTGAGTACTCCAGGAGAGTAGAAATAAGTATATAAGAATCAGACCATTTAATTCACACAGGCTCACCAAAACTGGATAACAGAAGACTACAAAAATGTTGGCTGGCCCGATGAGCCACGGTTTCTGCTGTGACATTCAGACGGTAGGGCCAGAATCTAATTCAAACAACATGAAAGCTTGGATCTATCCTCACTTGTATCAATGACTCAGGCTGCTGGTGGAGTAACAGAGTGGAGAATATGTTGTTGGCAGACTTTGGGTACGAACTGACTACAACTTAACAACTTTACCTGAGTATTGCTGCTGACCATATCATCGCTTTATGACCACCGTGTACTCGTCTTCTCACGGCTGTTTCCAAGCAGGAAAATACACCACGTCACGAAACTCAAACCATCTCATGCTAATTTCTTAAGCTCACCCGGGAGGTCTAACCCAGTGGCAGCAAGATGTACCGAATGAAGTGCCCGTGAGCGAATAAAATGTTAAACTCATGAGGTTTTTCTTATCTATTCTTTACTCTCTCCTGCATAGTAAGGCAATTGAGCTCACAAGCGCTGATTGTTGCCCCTCCACAGGCTTCCAGAAGTTGGCCAATTAGAAGACATTGAGTTCATATGACGTTTAGCTGCTGAAATGGATTTTCTCAGGGGCTAACAAAAAAGGTACAAGTATAAGATAAATATGACTTCACGATGAAAGCTTGAACTAATTTGCTTTTAAGCAAAGAAAAAAAAAGACTTTAAACAATTGTTTCAACTAAACTTGGCAGGCAGTCGTCCTCGCTAGTAGCTACTCGTGCCTCGAGTTTATTTAGTTAATTAAATTTCTAAAACACACAGAAAGGAAACTTGCGTTGACTAAGTTTCTGGTGGATTTTTATATTTCTGTAAAAAAATGATAATTTTAAAAACTCTTTCGCAGACACCTTCCGTCACTTACCGGGCCGGTGGAGTTTCTGTATCCGGCTCTGAAGAGCTGTCCTGCGGTCACAGCTGACAGCCTGGCCCGGGCTCCTCCAGCACGGCAGAAAGGCAGAGCGGCCGCCGAGAGAAGCCTCAGTAGCCGAGACATCCCCGCTGTGCCGCGTACCCAGATTTTCAGGCCACAAAACACAACTTTTTTTATTTAGTTGGTCTTACTTCTGTCCCTGGGATCCTTCATGTAACGCCTGCAAGTGTTATTAAGTAACAGCGTGAGATGTCAACCGGAGGATGATGTAAAGGCCCTTGAGGCTTCCCATAAAATGCCTGTCAGAAATTGTTACTGAAGGAAATGTATTTAGCAATAACGAAATAGTCATATTCCTCATTTTCAAATGTATTACAGCAATATTACTATTTTGAATTTATTCAACAAAATCACATTTATTTGTGTTAAATATAAATTAATTACAATCAGGCATCATACAGGTCCTCATAGCACAGCCTGTCACTTATTGGCTTAGAGAGAAAGCCTGGCTCGAGTGCTGTTACCAAAACATGCAATGACTTCGCTTCTTTCCTCATGACATTTATTAATACAGGACCACATGCCTTTAAAAAGCCAAAATGTGGATTCATGGTCATTTTGTGTCAGGTAGTCACACTGTCATGAGTCATGACTGATGGCAAAGGAGAAAAAAAGTTCCCTTTTTGAATGTGGTGGGCTTGTTGAACTGCATAAGCGGGGTCTTTTGCAGCGCGCTATAGCTGCTGAGGTGGGACGCAGTAAGACAGTCATTTGCAATTTCTTAAATGATCCTGAGGGTTATGGAACAAAGAAAAATCAAGTGGAAGACCCAAAAGTTCACCAGCACTGAGCCGGAGGATCCAATTGGCTGTCCGTGAAGACAGTGGACGATCCTCGATCCAAATTAAGGCCGTTACTGATGCTGACTGCATCCCCATAACCACCAGACGGCATCTGAAAACTGAAGGGCTTCAAAAACAAAAATGTCTTCAAAGGTGTCGTCTCCTTGAACGCCACGTTTGGACTTTGCAAGAGAGCACCAAACATGGGACACTGAAAGGTGGAATAGAATAGAATAGAATTCAACTTTATTGTCATTGCACATGCACAGGTACAGGGCAACGAAATGCAGTTTGCATCCATCCAGAAGTGCTTTAGTGATATAGATATATCACAATAAATATTAGCAATAATATAGATATGTAAATATATTACAGAAATGGGTCTATTATGGAATGTTATAATGTACACGGTATGAAGTATGTTGTGAATATTCTATAACTATAAGTATGTACAGGCTGTAGTGAGTACAAGCTATGTACAGGATATAAATATGAAAAACTATACAGAATATGAAATAAATAACTTTACAGAATCTGAGATATACAGCTATACAGAATGGGAACTATGCAAGTTGTAAACAGTTGTAGGGTTAAAAATTATCGAATGTACAGAATGATTATTACAGAGCTATACAGTAGTGCAGTTAAGATAAGTGAGATATAATTCCTACAGAGGCTATATAAAGTGCTAGTGGTTGTGAGTGGTGGTTCAGTCCATGTTATTATTGTGTGTTTGAGGGTACAGTTGTCCATTGTGGAAGAAAAGTTTTATTCACTGAATTCACTGATATTCACTGATAAGAAGAAATGTAACCTTGATGGTCCTGATGGCAGATGTTTTCTACGCGCAGCGGTGGAGGGGGCACCATAGTGGTCTGGGGTGCTTTTACTTTCAGTGGAACAATGGAGCTTCAGGAGATGCAGGGGCGTCAAACGGCCGCTGGGTATGTCCAGATGTTGCAGAGACCATCCCTCATGACTGAGGGCCCTCGTCTGTGTGGTGACGATTGAGTTTTTAAACAGGACAATGCGCCAGTACACAATGCCTGCAGAACAAGGGACACTGCTAGGAGAATAACATCACTGTTTTGGACCATCCTGCTTGTTCCCCTGATCTAAATACAATTGAGAACCTTTGGAGCAGGATGGCAAGGGAAGTTCACAAAAATGGACAACAGTTCCAGACAGTAGATGCCCTTCGTGTGGCCGTCATCACCACTTGGAAAAATGTTCCCAATCACCTCATGGAAATGCTTGCAACAAGCATCCCGCAATGAATTATTGAAGTGATCAACAACAACAGTGGCGCTACTTATTACTGAGTTCATGTTTGCAACCCGTTTACAGGCTTTTTTTGGTGGTGTGGTCCTAAACTTTTGATCAGCTGTAAAACAGCCTGTTTCAGTTTAAGCATTGTTTTCAATAAATTGCAGGCTCAAAAAATGTTTGGTCTCTCTCCATTTCTTCTTATTGCATGTTGAAGCTCTACTTGGAACCTTGTTAAGAGCCAGCCATGCAAAATAAGATTTATTTGCCATTTTTCAAGTTGTCTTAGACTTTTGTTTTGTTTTATTTTAAATCAATCTAAATAAAATGTTTGGTCACTTTAAGCAAAAAGCTGTGCTTCTGTTAATTTGAAAAAAGTGTTAAGTTTAAGTTGCAACTAACTATTAATTGATCTTGTTATTCAAAGTGTTAATAAGTTACTGTTTGGTATATTAAATATTAGAAAAAGGGACAAATATTGCTCTTAAGCCACTGATTTTAAGAAAAGCAGCAAATACAAAGAAAAAACTAAAGCCAGCAAATGTTTTGTTTGCCTTCTTTTAAAATAATTTCAAATTATTGCCTAATAGAAATGGACTTTTCGCTATACTAAAGGAACACTTAAAGAATAATAATAAATAGAGCAAGTGTGTGTGTACTATTGCTTCAAACATTATTCATGGAGATATTAAAGATAAAGAAAAATTAAATTCATTCATGTCACACAATAAGAAGAAGGGACACCCGCAGAGAATCATCAGGTATTTGTACAGAGTGGCAAGTGACCTATAATGCAGACTGTAATGGAGGTTTTAATGTTGTTTTTGATTGGTGTAAATACACTCATGAAGTGAAACTCAACAAATAACAAATGTAGCACACAATGACACCTGAGTAAAATATAAAAGAAGAGAAACCTAAGTCATGAATCTATAAAACAGCAGAAATCCATCTCTCTGCAGCTTTCAGCTTCCTCTGTAAGTGCTGTAGGAGAAGCGACTCATCAGTAGAGGGATGTGAAACCTCTGCTCCGGCTCACTGATGGTGAACACAACCTGGAAACACACAAACGCACACACAAATGATTACAGCAAGATGAAAAATGCCTTTTAATGTTTGATACAAAAATGATTTCAGCAAAAACATTGGTTGTTGTAGACCCCACTGTCTTTGATGTCACAGTGTTTATTGGACATGAAGATGTGAATAATGCTGTGACATTATTACAAACACTTTGTTGAAGTAAGTATAAGTAAGTAAGAATGTTTTTAAAATTTAAATTTTCCTGTTGCTCATTTGTTGATAATGACATTTGTGTGTTTTAGGAGATTTGGCGACCCCTTGTGGTGAACAAACTAACTGCTACCAAACTGTTTCTGTTCCCAAATAAATGTGTTGTCTTTACATCTTGTCCTACCCGTGACACTTATAAGGATCTATTCACATGTGTGCATTACTATATACCTAAATCAGACCAGTTTATTTCTTTCAGATATAGGATAGTGACACCTCATGACCCACCTCCACATAGGGGTAGAAAGAGGGCTGACCAAGGCCTTCCCAGTATGAACCAGTCTCAAAGCGGAGCTTGTACATGCCAGGAGTAAAAGTTTCTTGGTTCATGAGTCCTGGGCAGCGGCCATCTTGGTTTGTTGTCCTAAAAATTAATAATTAATAAATTATTAATTCGTTCTATGTGCAGGTTTTCGTCAGCTCACCTGGAAGAAAAGCTCTTCCCTGATTTCTTTAGTTGTCAAAAGAAATCCCCCCCCCCGCCCCCCATTTCTGGCCTTTTCAGTTTCTGATTTTATCAGGCTTCAGGCTTTGAATAATAAACACGTTAACAGGAGATTAAGCTACATGTAAGAATGTATGAAAGCCTACCCGACACTCAGCATGGCCCAGATCATCAGCTTGGAGTCCAGTCGGTGCAGGCTGAGGGCCATCCTGGCTGCCGGGATGCCGTCAGTAGCGTTCAGCACGTGAGTGGTCAGAGGGCTGGACTCCGCCATGATCTGCTGGATGGCAGGGGACAGGTCAGATTTAAATGTGGGACCTTTAGTTACAGTAATCGACGTCATGACACCATCGTATGGAAGAATGTTCAATCTGTGAGGCCGTTCTGAAGGCAAAAGGGGATCCAAGCCAGTACCCAGTAGCAAATTGTGACCAGTGAAGATATAGAAACAATGATTTCCCTCTTAATACCAGTCTATGGTGGTCATCTGATGCTCATCTACATCTAACACCTCCATGTACAGCAATCACAGTCCTCTTGACACCAAATAGGACAGAAAAAAGAGCAATGCAACAATAACCTTAAGCTTTATTAATATGGTCAATGATATTATGTCTGCTAACTAAAAAAAGAAACTATCAGGAATCCTCCTCTGTCTAACATAACTGTTTGTGTCTTGTTTTTTTAGATTAATAAAAGTACAAGGATAAAAACCTTTTTGTCTCTTCAAAACTTCAAAAAAAAAATAGCCAGAGGTGCTTTCATGATCGCTGCCCACCACTTATGCAATAGTTTGCAACTGGTCACAGAGTGAAAGAGCAGGATTGTTAGCAGTGAGTCTGCACTTAGTGATCTGTCCGAGAGGGATTTCTGTTCAGAGACAGGTTGGCTCCCACCAGGCAATGCGCACAATCGGCTTGCGATCAGAAGCAGTTACCTCGGTCAGCCTCTGCGTGTGCAGTGATTACCAAAATTCTTTTTAAAAAAGAAATCAATCACCCAGCAATCCTCCCATCTTATTTTTATAGTGTGGCTGGAGCACAAAGCAGCGTTTTCTATACTGCAGCCAGACACCAAAGGGAGCTGAAGATGCTTTAGCTTCACTTTTGAGAAGCTGTGACATTCTCATCTTTATTTATAGCGATTCAGAATAAATTTACACTTCAGCTCTTCGACATCAGAGTGTTTAATGTAGCAGTCCAACGTTTGAGTGTCACACCTACACTTTCTCAATATGTCCCATCTTAGCAAATGATCATAAGGACAGATTTTGCTATAGACTCTGGTCTGACACCTGCAAATTACAGCTCTGTGCTCCAAGTTTAATAAACTACTCAGAAGACAAGGATTATGATGTCATGATATTACCTGTCAGTCATGTGACCATGTATCTCATGTTTATTTTCCTCAGCGATCACTTTAATGTAAACAAAAATGACTATGAGTTTCATGTGACACCTTCTGTGTGTTAAGACACTGAGTCCATATCAAGAGGTCTCAACACAAACAATTATTGAAAACTTTCTTGAGGAATTAACAATAAATATGCTTCAAAATAGGAATAAAGAATATTATAAGCCTAAAGAGTTCACATATGAAGCTTACATATCATTATAAGATGACCAGAGGACACATACCACTTCTAAGTGGAGACTGGTGACACTTTAAAGCACTGAAGTGCATCAGTGTGAAACAGAAACACCTCAGGCCTCATTGCTGTAGTCTATAATAGAAGAAGCCTTACCTGTGTGAGAGCTCTCCCCTCTGCTGCAACCAGTTCATTCAGTATTCCAAACTCCTCCAACCAGCTGTGGTATCACTACACACTCCTCCCTCATACACCTACCCACCATGCACTTTAAACAGACCCAGTCTCAAAGGTTGTCCTGATTCTAATAAATCATTAAAACCAGCCAAGAGAGTGCAGCTTTCCTTCAGTCAACAACACGTGATTCATTTAATCACTGGGATTGTTTTGCATGATTAGGCTCATTGTAATGTCAGACGTCCCCTACTGTGCACCTCTGACTACGATTTCTTCTGATACCATTTGACTGGAAGAGACTGGGACAATCCCCACTGCCAGCTAGCATTTTAGTTCACAGGTAGAGATTAAATGCAGAAGCTTTAGTTGCTATTGTTACTGGCAGGTTAGGAATAACAGATACTGGGTGAGGCATGGGTAAATTCACAAGTTTGAATACAGTGTTTACCCACATGCAACATAAAAGATGGATGTAAAGCAGGCTTTTGCAAGTGCTGTTCAATGCTGCAGGTTTTGGTATTGATCAGATGCTAATCACATACAGGGCGATATCGATGCCGATATCAATTCTTTTAGCCTATAAAGGAAAATCATGTTAGAGGATGAAGTGCGTCATGATTTACACGTATGAAATGATGATTCATCATCAGTTTGCAAATTCTAAACACATTTTAATGATCACAAAATCACTGTGAGACTTTTACTCTCCATAATCTTAAGTTAATACAACAAATCATAGCTTTCAACTTTCTGTGTGTTTTCAAACTCTCCTCTAAGTTCAGTACGAGCTACGATCGTCCAGGATATGCTCGCTAGCTAGCAACCAGTGTTGCCAACTCCTCAGTAAGGAAAATCGCTATTGGTTGTCCTAAAAGTCGCTAAATGACGTCATCACCTAATTTGCATAATTGGTCATGCTAATCTAATTGTAACCTATGTTGTTGGAGAGAGAAATAACATCGTGGAAGAGACATAAAGTGAGTAAAAAACGTCCTAAATGCATTTAAGAGTTTATTTAGAACTACAAATTAAATTTCTTTTAGCAATTATTGTTTTTTTTAATGTCACAATTCCAAACCTGCTCCTTTACCCGGGCTTGGACCGGCAAAAGTAACCCGAAATAGGCGCTCTGGTGGAGTTACATTGTATGTGTGTGTTTATAAGTAGTTTTAAACGTTGTGATCCACAAAACAGCATAAGAGTAAAAGAGTAAAAGAAGAACTGACTGCGTTACAGCACCCGCTGCTTGTTGAGAGTAAAAGCGATACGCGCTTTCACGTCTTTTTTTTAGCTAAGGGGTCTGAAAACTCGCTAAATATAGCAACAAAGTCGCTAAGTTGGCAACACTGCTAGCAACTTGTCAGACCCAGTTTCATTGATCCTTTTGCACTAGTTTCAGCCCGATACCAATACCAGCATTGGCATTAATGCTATCGACATTTGGATCAATCCGCCCACCTCTAGCTTTTGCTTCTTTTGTTTTGAAACTGGATCTGACAAGTTGCTAGCTAGCGAGCATAGCTCCTTTCACAACCACCAGTCTCCCCCTGCAGGACACGAAGAAGAATGCAGGTTTAAATTCCACTTCCATGATGGTTTTACCTTTCAGACCTGTCTTTGTGTCTAACATGGATGAAGGATTCATTTTTTAAATTGCTGCAGTGACTCGTCCAATGAAATACGGTATATGGTATATCCTTTCATCCAACTCTGCCAAAGGTTTGGATTATTCCCTATGGATAAAATGTGGGAGGTGCTTACCTTTGATTCTTGTTGTTTTTATTTTAATGTGATGCAGTTCAAAATGATTGTCTTTTGTTAAGAGTTCCTGTAGGTGGCGCTTAATGTTTCTGCCTCTACTTATGCAGTTACCCTCGTTTTTCTGAAGATTTTCCATGAAGCTCATTTTTAAACTTGACCTCAAGTACTCTGGTTGTTTATTAGCAGCATCAGATTCAGAGAGCAACTGGTTTTGTCCAGCTATGTTGAACTGTTTCTGATTTTAGCTGGCTAAATGGTAATACTGATCTCTACCCAAACCTGACCACTCACCTGCCCTCTGAAGGGGAGACCTAATTTCCATACAGTAAACTTAAAAACAAAGGAGAGCATTCCAACATATCAAATGATTTGATATGTTGAATTTCTACAGATAAAATTCATAAACTCATAAAAAAAGAATCACACCAGGTCCAAATGCACCTCGTTTATGAAAAATACCTTTATTACACTCACAGTTAAATAGGTTACATTCAGCACTGAACAAACACAAAAGCACTGACAGGAGAAGCTACGGCGACGTCAAATCAAGGATTTCCAAAATGAGTCTGCGTCCAAACTCACTGGATTTCTTATTAAAACATTTAGTGTCACTTTGTTTTTAAAGTCTGAAATAAGGTTTCAGTATAAAGAGCTACTACTGTACACATGAATGTGTTCAAGTGTCACCTTTTAAACTGACAAATATTTAGAGCGTATTTACACTGACGGTTAGGGTTGTTCCTTTTAAAAGGTTCAGCAACTGTTTGGTGTCTGTGCTTGCCATTAAACCAATAATAAACATTATTTCATAAAATGAAAGCCACAACAGAAACCAGCAACACTGTAGTGGGAACAACAGTAATGTGTTATATATTGAATATTTTATGTGTAACTGGTCTGTCTTAATTGGCAGTGGTGTATCAAATTGTAAAAATGGGCCATCAAATGTTCAGTAGCATGTCTTTTCAGTAGGGTCATCTATTTTTTTCTATTACCAGTTGAGTCTTTCAAAAATTCTTATTAGCATCAAAAGTACAGTTTCTGTAGCTGTAGGTGTGTCTGTCACTTCTTAGGTTTCATGTATCAATCTGGTCCTTATCAGGTCTTAAAATGACTTAAACACAACCTAAGATGAACACCAACATATGACATATTACACCGTGTCATTATTTACTGATAAAAATTGAAGCCAAACTGCAGAAGCAGTGTATGTACCCTACTAAGTTGCTTTTAGGACCTAATTTAGGAGCAAAATGTTGCAGCAATGGTTTTCTGGGCGACTCGTGTCTCACGTCATTGTGGAGGAACTTGTCTTTACAGCGCTGCTGTTGTTCATTCATGTTTTCAGCATTCATTCATGCACAGCTCTCTTAAACCAACCACAGCGTTTCAGTTGAAATGAGGTCTAGACTTTGGGCCACTGCAGCACCTTGATTTTTTTTGCTTCTTCAGCCAATCTGTTGGCGATTTGCTGCTGTGTGTGGGATCATCGTCCAGTTACATGACCCAGTTTGGGCAAAGCTTTAGCTGCGGGACACACGGCCGCATGTGTGACTTTAGAGCAGTTTGGTGTACAGAGGATTTCATGGTCGACTCAGTGACTGCAAGCTTCCCAAATCATCGTCCCTCCACCACCGTGCTGACAGTTGGTGTAAGGTGTTTGTGCTGATGTGCTGTGTTTGGTTTTCTCCAAATGTGGTACAGTATATTATGAAGAAACAAAGCAAACTTAACATATGCTGCCATGTTGTTTTTAGAGGGAAGAAGTAGCCTCCTAGGAACCCTTCATAGTCGCACTTGTTCTGTCTTTTTTTAATTGATCTGACTTTGGGGTAAATTTGCTGGAATATTTCCTCCTGAGAAGTCTGGCAGCTGTCTTGAATGTTTTCCACTTTCTCGCTGTGGAATGATGCTGTGCTTTCTTTTTACCAGGACTGTAAGTTAAACTTAACTTTTTCATTCAGCTAGATATCTTAGCAAACATGAACCCAACAGTTTTAGTTCACGTGAAGCATATTGTTACCCACACCTGCCAAACTAATCCATGAAATAAACTGAACTCGAACTGTTTGTCAGTTTATTTGTCAGTTAACCCAAGCTAAACTGAAACAAGCACATGAAACCAACTATCACTCATGATCATAGAAAAAGTACATTTCCCTATTCGTATCTACTACATGGAGCTAATGAGCTAATGCTCATTTCAGGAAATTGTCTGGGCCTATATATAACTTTATAAGTGATTTCCTGAGTGGACTGAACAGTGAAATTTACCCAGAAAGTCATAAAGCCGTGCTCACTGAGCCTGTACCGCAGAAGCATTATGTGGCCACACAGCTGGTTACACATAATGAAAACAGGCCTGATGAAAATAAACTGTGCGATAAGGAGCCGCCAGCTGGTGCCACACAGACTTTAATAACAGTGATGAGTCTGACATGAGAAGCAAGGTTAGGGTGATGAAACAGACTCAAACGTTAAGGAAATAATCCAACAGGCTCACGAGTCTGCTCTTGCCTGTGTAGCCCACTAATGCAGTGTTTTCTGGCGGTGCAGAGGTGTTGGCCCAGAGGCCAAAATAAAATAATCTGCTGTGAGGAGGTATTTAGCTGCAGAACCATCAGTATGTTTTATTAAACTTTTCTATGATGTTCAGATATTGTCTAATGTGTCAACATGTGAATGTGGATCACTGGAATGGAAAACATAGGTGACGGCAGTGCAACATACGGTGGCCCCGAGAGGTCAAACGGATTGCAACTTAAGAAAACACCATCAATTAGCAAAAAACGCTGCAAAAGCACACAAGACACAACGGAAATAGGAAAAAACAGATTTCCAAAAGCACAAGGGAAGTGTTTCTGGGGAGACAATAACCCGTTGCAGGAACCAAAATATGCTAAGATTGCACTGGGAGACACTTAAAAGAAGTTGAGGATCTATCGGTTTTGTGACAAAAGAAAAGATGAGAGATAAGTGTGTTAGCCTAACTATTAGCCTAAAAATCCATCAAAAAAAAGTGCGTTAGGTTATTGTCTCCCCAGAAACTTCCCTTGGCTTTTTTCCTATTTCTGTTTCCTTTTCCCTATTTATATTTTGTTCTTCCTGTTTCCATTTTGTTTTGTTTGCTTTTGCAGCGTTTTTCTTATTGCTGGTGTTTTCTTAAGTTGCAGTTCGTTTGGCCTCTCAGGGCCACCGTAGCAACATAATAAAAATGTCAAAGATATGTGAAAAAATCAAAAATCAGGGGTGGAGGAGAGTCAGTCCAAATGCAGGTCGTGTTGCCAGCGTCGTCTTGAAGCTTCGTCCATCCCAGCTGTTACAGATCTGAGCGTCTGCTTCTGGAAGGAAGTGAACATGAGAGGAATCTGAAGCAAGACTTCTAAGGATCTTCAGGACACAAAGAGAGAGTAAAACATGCAAAAAACTCATAAGTTGGCATGAAATACACTTTAAGGTCAATATCAGTGGAGCCTGATGATTTTAAAGATTTGGTTTAAACTACAATAAGGTTTATGTGTCCTTCTTATCCACCAAAATGACTAATCATGAAGTGACTTAAATCTAAATGACCAGCAGGGGGCGACTCCTCTAGCTGCAAAAATATGGCTGTTCCATAGAAGTACAAGGAAAAAGTGCGATCTGTTCCCAGGATTTGTACCTTGGTGAAACACTTTGCTGTTGAGTTTACAGTCGTAATATTTGATTTGAAGTCTTACTAAAAACAATATGATGTTAATTTTGGCCACTATTATTATTCTTGTTGCTATTTTTTGAGTGTTAACTGTCCCTCAATTTCTCAGCTCCACTCACCACGTCTTGTTTCGAAAAATTAAGATGGTGAGAAAAGTCAGCATGAGGCTTCACAAATAAGATTTGTCAAACTGATGGGTGAGATTACCGTGTCTACAATAATCTTTTATAGTCCATTAACTATGTGCTGTAGGTATTGGGCAGTAAAGGAAAGAGAAAGCAGATCTATCTTCATTATAAGGTTGGATACTTAATGCGCAAATGTCCAACTTCCAATTAGTGCTGACCACTGCCGAATGTGTTTCCATGTGTTTTACCACCAAACAGTCATTGGCTTTAGTTGGATAAACTTACAAAGACTCAGAAACACACAGGAAACAGTCTGTTTTTTGCATTCTTTGTTGCTTTAGCAAAAACAAAGAGCAAACACACGTTAACTGCAAAAATCAACTGATGTAAGAGCTAGTTGAAGTCTTCCACAGCAAAGTAAGTGCTACGTTACGGTAGAGGACAGATCTGGAAATAGTTTAAATGATTCTACAATAAAAGAATATTTAAAGTTATTTCATATCATATTATTATTACGTCATACTGCTCTTCCTTCTGAGCTCCATTTTTATCCAAAACCTATTAAAGAGGACATATTCTGTTCATTTCCATCTCCATCTCATGCTATAAAGGTCGTAGTGTATTTATATTTGTACGTCCCCTATCTTCTCCTAAGCCAGTGAACAAATCTTGATAAAAACTTCTAGAAACATGGCTTAATGCACAGTGAGTGCAAACATCTGTATGTTTATATGCACATGTACACATGGCACTTATTCTTTATTGACCTAACATTAAAGTGTAGGTTTGCACATTTTTATTAATGGACTCTATTAGAGTAGCTCTGCAGGATTTTTTTTTTTTAACCCATCTTCCTTCAGATTGGCTGCTCATTGGAAACAGAAGGTTTAAACTGTATGTAGGCGGGGCTTCTGTGCTCACAGCTAGAGCTGTGCGCCTGAGATGACCGATATTATGGATAACCTCTATCTTTGACATGATGCAGCTCGAAGAATAGGAACAAATGTCCAAAACTAAGTCTCTCCCTTTATTTGAAAGTTTGGCCCTGCTTAATAAAAAGACAGCTGTTACAGAACACATTACTTTTGGACTGAGTGCATTAGCATTATTGAGCCTGAAGTGGTTAACAAGCTGTATTCATAAACTGTAAGGGTGTAATCCTTCACAGTTAATATTATTTCCCAAATAATTTCAATGAAGATGCTCAAAAATGCACAGAAAGCTCAGTTATGTCTACAGCCATAAATTAAAGCACAACGCCCTCCAAACCCAAACCCAATTTTCAGTTTGTGTTTAATTTGAACATCCAACATTAGATAGACAGACATGAAAGAAAACAAAGAAAAGCAAAGCAGGTTCATTTCAAAGGAACGTATAAGGCCAGGCAGCTTGCCACCTTCATACCTGAACTGCAGCATCACAGGTCCTCCTCCTGATCAGACGGCTTTATCTGAAAACAGAAAGAGAAAGTTACTCTTAACAGGACAGAGGGTTAATTAAAACACTGCTTTAGCCTCTATTTGCACATCGCCTCATGTTCAGTGCAGCCAGAAGTCCTTTATCCTCGCAGTCCATGTAAATGCTCATTTCCTGTTCATAATAACACATTGTGTTTCTCTCTCACACACACACACACACACACACACACACACACACACACACACACACACACACACACACACACACACACACACACACACAAAGAGGTATATGGTAATTAGCCTGCTAAAACACTCTTTTATTCATGTACACTCGGCTTCTTCCTGTCAGAGGAACAATGCGACAGATTAAGGGCCGGTCTGTTCTCTGCCTCCTCTCAGATTAATGAGGCAGCTTCGCTCTGTCAGGCAGGTATAGGAAGCCTGCAGGCTAATTCTATGTCATTATGTTTCCCTGTAAAGAAACAGAAACACTGAAAGCATCGCTCCTCCGCTCGGCCGATCTGCTCCACTCCGGTGAGATCCTGAATCAAAAGACCTGCGAGGCGACTGGTAAACACATCTTCCACCAGGAATTATACAGATGGTCTCTCTGCAGTGTGGGTGAGTCACAGATTTACTGCTGGTAAGTCTATATGACTGAGAGATTTAGGAAGACAGGTGAAGGAATGGACTGGGACAGATGAACTGTTTGTTTTTTCAAACTCTAACTGGATATATGGAAATCGTGGCGGACATTATTTTTTACTTCTTACTTTCTCTTTGGCAAAAGAAATGTTTGACTGATTATTAAAATAATCTCCATAATAACTAGTGAAACACTGAAAAACAATTCTGAGAGTTTTGACAGTTTTGTTAACGCACCTGAGTCAGAGTTAGCCAATTCTCCACAAGAGGGCAGCATTGCATTAGCTGCTATTGCAGAGCTGGGCACCCCAGAGGTTGTTGAGGTTACCCTGTGGGAGGTACATCATCTTGTTTGACTAGCTTAGTGTGTAATAGGGATACTTATGCATTCTTTGGGATAGTGATTGAGTATTAAAAGGCTTTAACTTGTTTGGGTAGTAGTAAAACATCTGTACTAGCAGTGATGGTAGCAGGCATGTAAAATTACACTATGTGTAGCTAAATTCATCCTATAAAGTAACTGAAAGGGAAAAACATACTGTGTGTTTACCCTGTGAGGGTGTATTTATCCTGTGTAGTAGAATGGGTGAGTAATAGTGATACGTATTCCATGGAGGAGCCTATATATTAATTGTCAGGACCGCTATTGTCAAAAGACGCTACCAGTGGCAGACATTTATAGTGGTGGTATATCTCTGAGGGGAGCAGCAAGACCTCAGCACAGAATAGAGAGGGCAGCCATAACAGCAGCTCCATAAATGATTAAGTTAGGAAGAGCATGAATGGAGTATCTGGAGGTCTGTTGCAAAGAGGCTTGCAGATTGGATTGAGACTTTCTAAACAAGTCACTATAAATCAATGAATGTCAACAGGTCTGTAGGAGATTGTTCCATCTGCCAGGATTATGGCTGAGCTTTATTTTGTGAACTGTCTGTACTGAAACTATGCTCCATATACTCCATATTTGCTCTGCAGTAGTGGCAACAGTAGGAGTGGTGGTATATTGAGTGAGTAATATATGTTTATCCAGTACTGTTGTGCCATGGGAAAGGGTTTAATTTGGAATTTGTGACAAGGGAACATTCCCCAGAAGACTACAGGCAGAAGAAAAAGGAATAAAAAAAATAAAAAAGTTGGAGAACCACTGAGCAAATGTATTACTGTAATTACTTTTTATTAGGCTTACCATCTGCTGTCTTATTTTCATTTACTTAGGCAATTAGATGAGTTCACTGAATGCAATGTCACACCATTACTGCAAATATTAGCGCACTGAAGAATAATCGCTGTGTGTAAGCACAGCACATCAGCTGTTGTACTGAAACCTGTTCAAGCTGGTTTTGTGAGACCACAGTGAAACGTCAGGAAAGTAACTGATGGAGTCCCTGCTCCCGTAACACCTGCGCTAACTGCGTCCTGCTGCTGTGTGATGCCACAGCTGTTTAATATCATTAAAAGAAGAAAACAAACTCCTATTTATTCAGCATGAGACTGTGTCTGAAAGCTGGGAGCTATTTGAAGATCGGGAGGCAAAGCTAAAATTTGGCTGTATGTGAAATTGATTGATATTGATTCTGTAAGTCAATGGTAGCATGGGTGTAGCTGTGGGGAAGCAGGGGCGTATATTTACCCTGTGGGTGTAGCTGTAGGGGTAATAGTGCTGGTAGTGCAGCGGCTCGTCCTCACTGGCCTCCCCTGGCTCCGGACTCTCTCGCTCCAGACTGCTGACTGAACCTCGGCGAGAGGAATCCGACACACTGGGCTCCCTGCTCTCAGGACACTCTTACACACACACACACACACACACACACACACACACACACACACACACACACACACACACACACACACAATATCATGCCACCTAAATGCTACATCTATTCTTGGGTATTAATATGGAGTTGGTTCCCCTTTGCAGCTACAACACTCCTTTGAGAAGACGTTGAAGTGCGTGTGGGGACTTCTGCCCATTTAGAAGAACATTTGAAAAGACAAACACTGATTTTCGAGTTGATCCTATAGGTGTGTCTTTATGAGCCTCTGTTTTGCACTGGGGCAGAGTCAAAGGTGGTCCATCCCCAAATTGTTCACACACAGAAGCACAGAATTGTCCAAAAAGTTTCGGTAAGTGGAGGCATTACGTTTTCCTTTCACTGAAACTAAGAGACCCAGGTCAACTCCAGAAGAACACCCCGCAGCGTTATCTCTCCTCCACCAAACGTTATAGTTGGCACAGTCTTTCAGGTAATGTTCTCCATTCACCTAACCCAGATTCGTCCATCAGATTTGTCACATCACAGAACACGTTTCAATAGCATCCCTGATTTCATACGATCGCTTTTGGTGGAGGATGTCAAAATGCTAACACTGATTCTTCAAAGTCCAGAAACCAAATGGGGTGTTGCCGTGGCTACATCCATCTTTTAAATACAGTCCTTTTCTAACAATTTTTTTCTTTAAGCCTTTAATTTCTCCTCATTATACAGAGAGTAGTCACTGTGACAGTTCTCTGTCGATAAATAAGTGGACGTCCAACAGTGTCGAGACGTGGTTATGGATGATTTTAGGTCTCATTAAAGCAAAATCACAAGTCATGTCACAACAAAATATTGTAATTTAAATTTTTATTTGAAACATTTTCAGATCTAATGCAAACCTCTAAAAATGTCAGTTTTGTAGTGAATTTGAACCCTCATAACTCAAATACCCGCAGTATTACCTCCCTCTTCGACGACTCGCTGCATGTGTGCGAGAGAAGTTCTCATTTGAGTGTTGGAACACATTTCTAGGAAATAATCGCAAAAAACTGAAGACCGTCAACGTGTCACATCGGATAATTTCCTCATCTATTTATCAACCCGAGGAGATAAAACCCAAACACACACACATGCACAGGGACGACACGATAACTCCTGAGCGCTGAAGGGGAGCTTATGAAAGGTTATGAGGACCGTGTTTATCGCTGTTTACCTCACTGTCATAATCCACGCTCCACTGGTGGCAGTTTTGTCATTGAACCATTACTCACAGATGCAGTATGATAGCTGGCTCACATCTGATGGTAAACACAGCGACTCTCTCTGCATCACCGAACGCTCCGACGGATCATTTGCCGTAATAAACTCAAATTTAGAGTTCAGGAAGGATTAGACCTGGATCAGTCTGATGTTTGAGGTTGATATAGGCATTTAATAAAAACGGGATGCGTGTCAGTGTCGAACACCTCTAAAGTAATGACCGAGACTGAATACATTAGATGTTTCTCATTCGTTTGTAAACAGAAATGTAGTCCTGAATATATTTCAAAGCCTGGTTTTACATTCCTGCTAACAGGCCTTTTCATAATCTGGCAAAGCACCAAAGACAACAACTAGACTGTCATGGGCTTAGGAGATTGATTTCATTGATTTCAAACAGGCAGAAAAAGCCAGCCTGACTTCTTGAAGTCAAGTCTGACCTTGGGGTGAATTTTCTGGGACATCCAGTCCTGGGAAGATTGTGACATTACATCAACACCTGAATGCTGCAGACCAGCAAACTGCCAAAGACGTGTTCACACTTACTGATGTTTAGTTAATCAAGTACATTTGATTGGAAACACCTGACTGCTACTTATATACAGTCTATAGTTACTGTAAATCAGTCCTCCAGGGAAGCTCCAGGGGACCTGGACTTGAATCCACTGTGCAGCCAGGGCCTTTCTGTGTGGAGCTTGCATGTTCTCCCTGTGTCTGTGGGGGCTCTCTCCAGCTTCCTCCCGCAGACCAAAGACATGCACTTAGTAGTGCTAGGCTAACAGGTGATTCTAAATCGACCATATGAATGTGGGTGTGAATGGCTGTCTGTGTCTCTGTCCAGGGTGTACCCCGCTTCTTGCCCTGTGGGAGCTGGGATAAGTTCCAGCACCATGGGGGGATTAAAGAAAATAGATGGATAGATCTTACCACTACAGCACCTTGACAAATTTTATCTATGATGTGCGGTCTGGGGATCAGTTGATGCATTTCAAAATGGAAGCAATACGTGTAGCAGTCAAGTGAAAAGTCAAGGTCTTCAGTAGCAGATGACTCATGCAGAAGACATGGAAGTAAGGGAAGGTTTGGGGTGAAGCTAATTATCCATCCATTCTCTTCTCCTTATCTTTATCAGGGTCACAGAGGGGCTGGAGCCTATCTTAGGCTTAGGTCACCAATCTGGCATTCACACTTATGTGCAATATAGAATCACCAGTTAACCTAACCCCACTAACTGATGTCTTTGGATTGTGAGTGGCAGTTGGAGTATCTAGACAGAACCCATGCAAACACGGGCTGTGTAAACAAACTCCACACAGAAATATTGCTTCACACACAGACTAAATACAGCAGCTCTAATTTTGAAAATAATTGCAATTAAGGCGTTAGGATAAAATTTTATTATTATTATTTTCAGCACAGTTCTTTGTCTCTACCTGAGCCATCCTTCCTCTGTCTGTCCATCTTGTCTACGCAGTCCAGCAGGCCATCGATCTGAACCTTGATCACTGTCAGTTCCCTTTTGATGGAAAGAAGCTCTGCCATTCTCACTGCAGAGACAGGGAGAGATGTAAGAAAGAGAGGGGGATTAATCTCGCTCATGATGCATAAAATAAAATAAAGACTGACGCATGAGGCTATAACGACTACTCAGGTTAAAAAGTATTCTATGTTAAAATCAACGGATAAAGTTATGTGAATGTGACCGGCTAATGCATGGCTTTATTTACATGTTGTCAAGTGTTGAGAAGATGAAGGCTCAAGCTGCCTCAGTGACCGCACTTGAGATTTGGTTTACTAACAAGGTTCCTTTAGTTCAACAGGAAGCAGAATGACCTAAACGTAGAAGTTGTCTGCACCAACCACCATGTGAAATGTAGAACCCAGAACTTCCCTCCCTAAGCTAATGGGGTAAGAACATTAAACAAGCAAATAAAGCTGTGAAAAACAGACAACCAGAACATTCATGTCAAAAGCAAAGGAAGTAAATCCCCACAAAGAGGCAGGGATCGATCTGAGGAAGCCGAAGAGCTGCTTGGTCTGGGAGAGGGAAAGAGACCCTTTTCTCAGCCTCCTTTAAATAGAGGCAGAACAGTTTATCAATTACTCTGTTACACTGTGAGAGATCTGTGAGAGAGGAAAAAGGAAAAAGGAAATGAGGAAACAAACACAAGAGGAGGGTGCATAACATAGAATACACACAGCTTTTTAGTATGCAAATGAATGCATGTAAAAACCTATAAGCAACAAATGTGCAGTTGTTTAGAACATAAAGCTAAATCTGGGTTTGAATCCTGGACCTGCAGTTTAATGTCAAACCTGCATTTGAAATTTATGTGGTGTACAGATAAGACATAACACGTGGACAGTGACACTAGTTATTAAAAACTAGGGGTGCAACGATACTCGTATCGATATTGAACCGTTCGATACAGTGCTTTCGGTTCGGTACGCATATGTATCGAACAATACAACATTTGTAATTTATTTTATCAACTTTCCTTCTGACGATGCTGTCTGTGTGGAGCGCTCAGTGAATCTGCGTTCGACTACTCCGCCTAGGCTGCACTGTCGAGCGCAGATCCACTGAGCGCTCCACACAGACAGCATCGTCAGAAGGAAGAGCGCAGGGCAAGCTAGCGAGACAGAAGTTAAGCTCTCCTTGCAACATGGCAAATTGAACCTCCCCCACCCTCATTCAGATCTGGCGTTTGGAATTATTTTGATTTTCATGTGACGTATGACCCTGAAGGTAAGCGAGTCATGGACTAAAGTAAAACAGTATGTCGGATGTGCCACGCAATGCTCAATTACATTGGTGGGAGCTAGTGTGTTAGCGCAGTTAGCTCGTTAACGTGTTGGCCGTCTAGTCCCATGCACGGGGCGATCAGGGGTAGCTCGTTAACGGAGATTTGCCGTGTTGTGGCGTTAAGGTCATTTCAACGAGATTAACCTGAAAGCACTAGTGGGAACACAACGAATATGACTGCACATTTACGCCGACATCATCCTAGTACAAAGACAAAAACAACAAGCATGCTACTAACTTTAGCCGAGTCATTTAGACAGCCGTTAGCAGATGATTCTCCTTATGGGGACCTGATATGTTTAATATGCTGCTGAGAATATAGCCCAGAAGAAGCGGATAGTATAGCTTTTATTTTGGAAAGAGCCATTTCTCTGTAATAAACTCTCTTTTCCAAAGATGAGTGATTCCTCAATCAGATACAGGGCTCGCAATATCGCTAGCCCGACGTCCCGGGGCTAGCGTTTTTCCAGTCGGGCTACCAAAATCTATCTCTGCCCTGCCCGTCGGGCTATTGTAGGAAGGAAAAATATATGTCAATGCTTTTGCATTCTTTCGGAAATGTAGCTGGGTAATTATGTCATTGGCATCGGTGAGCCACTGTCAATATGTGACATATTGAAATCGCGTTTGAATTTGCGCTTGTTTTTTGCTTTCACTTTGCAATCGCGCGAACTGTGTATAGAGAGCGACAGTACTGATCTGTGAGTGGTGATAATTTGTGCACCAATTCCTCTGACATCGTCTTATTAATCGTTAGCTTACTATGCAAACATGACAAGTGAAATCTCCCGCAGCTTAAACATGTGAGAGGTTGATCGCGCAGAGAATCGCTGAGCTTATGTGAGTGAGCGTGTAAAAGCATTTCAGTTCTGCTGAGCCAAATAAGACAGGTCAGGGTGAAGAAGTGACAGCCAAAGAAAAGCTTACCACAAAACGGAGAAGTTATGACAAATCAGACTATAAGGCAAAAAGAAAGTGCAGCTTTATGGTTTCATGGACAAAAGAATTTCTGTGGCTGCAATATGACGAGCTAAATAACCAGGGCTGCACATAAGTGGTCCGCAGGTGCGCATTCGCTGTCAAAATAAAAAACACGCACAAGGGTTAGGGTTAAATTTAAAAACTGTACTTTTGAGTTAAAATATATATTTATAATTTTAATAAATGACAAATTAAAAAGACATGAACATTTTTTTTGTATCGAAAAAATATCGAACCGTGACACCAAAGTATCGAACCGAACCGTGAATTTTGTGTATCGTTGCACCCCTATTAAAAACATGGGTTTAATTTAAATTATTTGATATCCTAGCGCTGACACACACAAAGTACAGCGAGGGATTAGAGAAGGGTGTAAAAAGGGAAATGAAAGACAAATAGATGGTACACCCCTTTGTCTTGCCATGTTTTGGGCATCTTAGTGCCAGTCTAGACAAATCTGCAGCAGACAAAAACATTTTAGACAGCAGTGATTTGTCTGTTTCAATATCAGCGTGCATAAATCCAGCGACATAAAGAAATGTTTCTTTGCAGCTGGGTGTGGAAGAAAATCTCAAATCTCATCAGCAACAGTTTTAATGAACCTCTGTAATCCACATTCCCACAGAGAGAATCAACAACTGGTAGATGGTCTGAGCCCACAAATGACAACAGAAACCAACATGTAATGTAAAACAACTCTGAGCAGTTCTTTTTTCTTCTTCTGCCTTTGCTGCGCTGATGTGTTTCAGGGTCATTTTCTGTTCATAAGTGGGCCGATGCAAACTCGAAAGTCAGCGCTGACCGCAGTAGGATTTTACAGCTCCATGCAGATTCGAGTGTCATTCAGTGACCCGTGCAGTCGTCAAGGCCGCGCTCCTGCACCATCAGTTACTCTTAGCGCTGCGCTGCCGCCTTCTTCAGCTGCATGAGCCCTCGCCCTCGCTGTGCTCCGTAATGGACTGACTCTGCTGCACACAGCTCTCCAAATGACCCTGAAAACTACTTCAATCCTGAAAGCTTTTCGACCTCTGAAGCTTGCAAAGGCAATCTAATTTCCTTGTGATGGGGCGCAGTAAAAACTATTAAGGCTTGTAATAAACTAGTATAAACAATTCTTATTTTCCATGCACTATTAACTCGGTCTAATTGTGAGAGCTGATAGGCTCGGCTGGGTTATAGCAGGAGAGGAGAGCCCTGCGGTACAGAAGCTTTTAATGAAGAGACCATCTGGAGCACCCCCCTCACCCGCCTTCTCTCCAGCACCCTGGGGCCTTACCACCGAGATGAGCTGTCACACAGGCGGGAGATAACATGAAACAGGGTTTTGGAGAGGAAATATCCTCAGAGTGCAGCAGGTTTCCACAGGAGCTGCAGATTTAAAGGGGGGGGGGGGGAAACAGGCTGAACATCACAACTGTGTACAAATGTGAACATCAAGGCCGAGGCTCATGTGTGGGTCTGAAATTTAAAAGCCGTTAATTGGTGAGGGATGTGGCGTTAAACACCCCTGCGTATCGTCCTCTGACTGCAGCGGGGAGTTGGTGTCTCTGCCCTTTTTCGATAAAAGCCTTTTAACAGCTGAACTTCCTGAACTTCTCGTGCCACAGTATTTCCCTTCGTCCTTTACCCTCGGCAGAGTTACAGCCACGACTTTGGATTTAATGTTTGCTGATGTTTTCATTAGGTTTAACGGTCATGTAGCTCTCAGTGGATGGATAAAGTGCACGTCTCTCTGGGACATGAAAAACAGTTTACTGGAAAAGCGAGAGAAGAAGACTCGGAACAGTTTGTGACAACTAGGCGCTGTGAAGGTAAAAGAACGCATATGTACAGTTAACAGGCAAGTGCTAAGCACAGTATTATTTTACTTTATTTATTTTGCCCTGTAAACAAACACGCTTATTAAATGATTTCAAAAATCCACATGTTTGATGGAGACTTTCTGTCTTTGGTTAACAGAAACTGCCATGACGAGCCTACTGAGCTCACTCTCTGAAAGTGCAGCACCTGTTTAAGTGCAATATGAAGGACTCTGCACTTATAGATATGAGCGCCATGTGATTATTTCAGGAGTGTCTAAATGATACATCGAAAAGACCACGTTTTTACACAAAAAAGAGGAAAAGAATAAAGACAATTAAATCAAACAAGGATTCAACTTGATCATAGGAATCATAGGATCATAGTAATTGGTCAAACATGCTGATTATAAGTTTCTGTATCTGAACATGGTGGGCAAGGGGGTTGATTGTTTGGGTTTTCACTATATTATTCTCGGGTCTTTACCTTACAGGAAAAAGCACCTTGAGGGCACTGTTGTTGTGATTTGATGATATATAAATAAAATTGAATAAATTGAATTCACTCTTTCACTACCAGCAAACAGCCTCCTGCAACCACTCGCTGATCAGGGAATACTCATTTTCCCCTAGCGACTGATGGTTGCCAGGCAGTTGGCAGTAGGTGTGTGACTGGGGCCTTTTCTCAGCACCTGTCCTATTAACCATCTTTCCTTTCTGAATTTAAGCTGAATGCCACTCAACTACACATGTGCAGGCCGGAAAAATGGGCCTTCAACAGAGTTTGAAAATAGCTGGCGAAGAGGAAGCGATGCACGGCCGCCCAAGGCTACAAACAAATGAAAAACTGGGTTTTTATGTTGCTAAACACAAACATAGAGGTTAAACACACATCTTCACCACTTCCAAGCTGGTGGAGACAAAACTAATTTTCTTTGTTTTTGCAGGATATGAGAATGTGCATAAATATCAAAATAGTGAAATAAATGAAATGTTACCACTTTAAATATAGAAAATTAAGCATGTCCACTGCCAGTATTGTTCAATTATTTGGAGTTAAGGTTTGTACTTTAATGCCATTTACTTAGAGCTAATATCCACACCTACATCACCCTATAACTGACCTATAATATAAATAATACCAGAAATATAAACCTTGTAATTTTGTATCTGAAATTGTTTAAACTTTAAAAGTTCAAAGTCATTTTTCTATCAGCACAGCATCCTCTTACATTTGCTGCTGGAGGCGGAGGTGTGTGTGTTGTTGCTCCTTCTGGACGGCCTGCTGCTGCTCATTCTCAGAGCCGCTGTGGACAATGAAGAGGAGGAGGATGACGAAGACGAAGGGCGGGGTTGTTTTACAGGACTGGGATCCGCAGGGACCGAAGAGGGAACTCGCTGATAGTCAAACACACTGAAAATAAACACACACACATGCAAGCTTTAAATACTCACACCCTCGCAGACAGAGTCCCATGATGCACCAGTGCCTGAGGAGGTAGCGTCATGCTGCTCGTTTCCATCTCGACTGCTTTATTGTTACAATGAAATGAAGGCAAATTTATGTCGTGAGCAGAGTTCATCTTTATGAAGAGCAGCTTGTTTGAAGTCATTTTTATACACAAAAATCTTTGTTATTAAAGTTTTAAAAGCAGAAAGCGGAGAGGAAACAAAGAATAATCTTTTTATTTTTTAAAGGGTTTTATTTCTCTGAACTTTCCCTGCAATGTTTCTGGCTTGCAACTCCAAACACAAATCTTTAGAATGAACTTGTAAAATATATACCTTCATTTAAAAACAACAGTCAATAATTTCCTAATGCAGCTATTTTTCTTAATCTGGAGGAATCAGTGAATTTAAGTGGTGGATTAATCCACATTTGATGCTTCAGTATTGCGTCAGTAAGAGTGAGTGACCGAGAGATTTCTGTTATGATCTGCAGAAAAAAAGTCTCAAGGTCAATTTAAATATCTGACGACCAAAATCAAAGACAAACCAAAAACTCAACAGAACAAATAGGAGAATCATTTTGGAGTGGGTGCCCCAGCCTACCATCGTGCGAGTGGTTGAGGTCACGCAGGTGTCTCAGAAGGGTTTGCATTATAAGGTGGCTGACGTTCACGTTATAAACCTCCATCTTTGCTCATTGGTGGTCGTCCAGGTAGACAGCTGGCCTCTTTTACACCTCTCTCAAAGCATTTGTGTGAACACCTCAGTGCTCTAAAAAATGTCCCTCTGCACAGCTGACTCTACGAGAAGATATGACTCTACTACTGTGCACCGTGCATCTGTAGAGTACCTGATGTGGTCTCTCCTTGATATATGCCCATGCACTCACATGAGGAAATTGAGCTCTTTTTAAATCTGATCTCCTGAGCCACGTCTCACCTGTCAGGGCCCGGAGAACTGAACCTGTAAACTTGTACAGTACTTGGGAAAAAAATCGAATAAAATTTGCGTTTCATTTCAGTTTTGGTGAATCAAAGTCCAAGATTTTATTTTGTTATTTAGCCCTAATTAGCAGCTATCTGTGTCTTTATGGATACAGACTGCGTCGGTAACCAACAAAGTCATCCTTTGTCCAGATTTGATAACTTCTGCCTCCAATAACCCAAAACGTTGGTGACCAAAGTGTTAATGTTGAGGCTTCGAAAACCAGTGGCCATGTGGTCTACAACAAAGCTGCTCGTGTACCTATTTGTTGCAAATATTAAAGGCAAACATAAGGAAAACACAGGGAATACATGCAACAAGGGTGCATGGAAAATAGATTTAATACATTTCCTGACTAAATATTTGCAGACGGTCTGATGTTAAGATTTAGTTCAAATAACCGTCACACTGCTCCCTCCATTCAGAGGTTGAATATGCCAATCAAACTAATAGAGGAAGAGGTTTAATATGGGGATGACATACAACTTGTAGAGCATCACTGTGGATGTGAACCAATTACAGGCCTGAATACTAAAGAGCAGAGACAACAGGGCAGTCTGCTCAAGTGGACAGGTCATGAGTCGTCCTTCAGCTCCTCTCGTTCATCTTCTTGCAAGAATGCTTCATTCCTGATATGAGAAACCAAACTATGAGGCACTAATGTGCTCTATTAATCTGCATTGAGAAGCTGAACCAATAACTTCTCAAACTATTTGTATAGATTTTTTATGATGCTTTAATGATTTTGTGATCTTTGAGTTTAATTCCCAACTAAAAACCAAATTTCCTTTTAATACTTTCAGATGCAAACGCGTATAGAAGGCTGAGGTTAGGGTAGGTTGCATGAATAAAAAAGTATTTAAAGGTTAAGAGTCTTTTCAAATAAATCTCACACACAGAGACAAACCAACACTAAATGCATCCAAGTGAAACTGTTTGAGTACATTGCATTGCTTTATGCCAAAGAGCTGCATCATTACTCCAAACTATTAAAACCCCATTAATAAGGAATGTTCCATATTCTTTCGTCACCATAAACACTCACACTGTATTTTATTTTAAAATGTTCCCGTCGTGCTTAACTCACTGCTTTAGCAGGATATTAATTAGATTTTTGGAGAACCAAAGTTGAAGTAATATCCTGCTAAAAACATTACCTACACCTTCTTCTCCTGTTTGTTAAAAGCGATGCTGTCCAGCGGTTTGTAAAATACAAATCCATACAGGCTAAACTGTAAATATTTGGACGGGTACATGTTCTAAAAGTTATATATTTTATAGTTTATTTTTCATGCATGCACTTATGCAGTTCTTTCTGAACTGTATGTGAAATACAACACATCAGAATGATGGGATGCTGCCATTCCGTACAGGAAGCCCAGTTTCTTTTCTGTTTTTTTTTTTACTTTTTTATTATTTTAATGATTGATGATTGTAACAGGAGCAATGAAGCTCAACAGTAAGACTGATGTTTGTAAAAACAAGCAGAGATATATAGCTTATTGGATAACTTGATGCGAACTTGACATTCATGTAAGACTCATTTAATGCAAAGCACTCCTCATGGCTGGTCTTCGTTTGCATCCAAATCAGCTGATGAGATTAGAACTTGTAGCTTTTTCCAGTTTGATTTGAAAGTTCTTGTTTATTAAAGTGTTGCCTGTTTAGCTCTTATGCTAGTTTTTGAGTCCATTTTGAGTTTTATCAACTAGTCCTTAATTACAGTTTCTGAGTTTATTCAGTCTTTCTAGTTTATTCTGAATTTCCCTGTTCTTGCTTCTTACGTCCTGCTTTAGGTAGTTATTTAGCTCCGGTGTCGCGTTTTTAGTTTTACTTTTCCCTTCTCTGTCTTGACTGTCCACAGCTGTGTCTTGTTACCCTCCTATTCCTCTTATACCTTCTCAAATAGGGAAAATAAACCAGAGTTCAGGTGCAGCTGTGAAAACACTCTTAAATTGACAGGAAGTATACAGAACATACCAACCAGCATTTACAGGGTGTTTGGGAAGAATACTTTTTTCCCCACAAATGTCCAAACTAATTGTTGTGCATCACCCAGAGAACCAACGCTTTTCTCATGACACAGCATAATCACTTCTGTTTCTAAAATGTTTTGCTTATGAGTTTCTAAATTTGGGAATTCAAAACCGTGACTATTTTAGATGGTACGCCATTATTTATTTTGGTGTGTGTGTTAACAACCGTTACCTTGGAAACTATTAAGTAAGATATATAGTAATGCAACACCTATTTATCAAAGGGGACTCTTGGACTTTACCAGCATAGCTTTGCATGAATCAGACTTCAAAATCATACATATGTAGGTCGTCTTGTGGTCCTAACTTCCTTCTGATTGGCTGCCTCTTGCAAACCGTAGGTTAGGACAGCAGCTGTAATGACCATATATAATGACCATGAGCATTTAGAGTGATTGGCTCACACTTACTTGTACATATGCTGGCCTTGTTATTTAAAATATGAGACACGTCTGTCATATTCCAGGATATATGTGGTAGAAAATAAAGAAAAACTTCAATTTAAAGCTGTATTTTAAGACACAGCAGGATAACACAAGTGTTTAAAACCTCCCCCTGAAGGAAGTTTTCATACAGCCTAGTTTTTCTCCTTACTTGTAATGAAAGTATCAAATTGATTTATAAGGAAATTAATTGAGAATGAAAGCTGTGCCATTTGTATGTAGCTGCAGTTGAAAGTCAGCTGAAAGTGAATTTGGTCTTAAATCAGTTGCAGCTGCTCCCTCTGTCGGGCTGCGTTACCTGCTGGAGGTGAGATGAAACTTTCTAAAGGACAGAGTGATTTATCTTCTATAAGCGGATAACCAGCACTGATTTCATTTCATCAAATAATCCCAGATGCCCTCCTTTCAGCACTCGCTGCACCTTCTCCCTTTTGGTGTTATGTCGCCGCTCGCTGATGCCGTGTTTTTTCCCGCGGTTGTTGCGGTCTGATAGAGTGTGCTGTGCTGCGGGTGAGAGCTGACTGACAGCTCCAATTTGATGCAGGGAACGATAGAGGAGGCGACTGCGAGGATGAGGAGAAGCCTTTCCTCTCGCTGCCAACCTCTGCTGCCTATCACAGCAGCCATCTACAGCTGGAGGAGCAATGACTGCAGGGGGAACATGAATACACTTCATCTCTTTCACTGTCACACAAATAGAAATGCATACGCACACACACACACGAATATGTCTGCTCAGTACATTTTAAAAGGTTCTTCTGTGACATGGGGAAAAAAATCATTTACACTTTAAAGGCCGGGGAAAGAAGCTGTGTGCACCTACAAACATGCAGAGATATTCAGGTTCAGAATTTAACTCCATCTAGAGCCTGTTTTCTCCCAGTTTTGAGGATTTCATGCCAAATTAGGAAGCCATGAATGACTGAAGGCCACACACATCAGCACATTTAGTGTTTGTAACGTGTCAGAGGATGGCAGCGTATGTTGGGAATAATGGTTGCTGCTTTTTAACAGTTAGTGAGGTGCCATTTCTTGACACCAATGCTGAAAATGTACGTCTGCTATGATGCCCAGAACAGAAGTAGTGAAACTGAAGCAAAGCTGCATGAAGCTACGGAATCCAATGACCACAAGGAGCGTGTACTGCTGCCGAATTTATACACATTCATAGCTTTGTAAATTAAAATGGGAAAAATAAATGCACCCAAGCACCCAAGAAGAAAAAAAGCACCTGGAGGTGACTGTTGCTGTGATTTGGTGCTCGGCAACCAACTTTATGTGGTCTGATGTTTCATGGCTGAGATGATGTGGTTCCTACGTACTTTCACAGCTGAAGGAGAAATAACTGTTGCAACAGTTGCATCCTATTACAGCACCACCCTCCAATTCACCAGCTCTTTACAACAACCCAAATATTTCACAAATGTTTCTAAGGGCAGAATGAATGGCTAGGTGCTGGTGTCTGAATTCTCTCATATTTAATAAAGTGATCAGTGTGGCTG